TGCTCCTAACACCTTCTTGTTCTGTTTTCTGTTCTCCAGCTGGGAGCCCGCAGCCAGAAGCAGCACCAGGTAAATGACTGTAGTTAGGGCACAGGAAGGGGAAGGAACACTCCTTCCAGGTTTCACCATGGGCCAAGGAGCAGCCGGTGAACCCCAGAATTCTTTTGCCCCCCCCCCTTTCCCCACCAACTACAAAAGGAGAAGGAACAGAGGGAGCTGGGGACCGCTCAGTCCTGAGTCTGTTGTCTACGTTAGTTGGCGTCCTCCAACCAAGTCATCTGCTCAATTGGGAAAATAGTTATAAAACTGGCCCTCGGTTTCCTTATCAAAAGGAGAAGGGGCCCCAGCAGGGGAGGAGCTGTCGCCACTGGAAGGATAGGGGGACACACGTCTCCTCTTAGAGTCTCCTTCGCCCAGTCCCGAATCCCCGGACTCCGGCCGGACGAGGGCGATGTCCGTCCACAGCGAGGTGGAGCCCTGGTCCTCCAGCGCCCGCACCTCGGAAGCACCAGGGCCCGGGTCCATGGGCAGAGTCCGCATGGGGCGGAACCAGCCGGCCGGGCCCATCTTGGGAGGGTACTGGGGGGCCACAGGCCAGCCAGCTCCGGGTGCCAGGACCTCCTGGCCTCTGTAGTAGGACATGGTGGGCCCAGGGGCCGAGGGCAGGAAGGCCGGCTTCATGCTGACGGCTCGAAACTCGGCCTCGTAGCTGTGGTCCCGGGGGGCCCCCAACCAGTAAGGCTGGGGAACCACATCCTTGGCCTGGCCAGGAAGGTCGGGGTAGAAACGGCTGGGAACGGGGTACTGGTTGGGTAGGAGCGAAGAGTAGTGGTCTCCCCCGAGCAATTGACAGTTGGGTCCAGGCGGGGAGGGGACACTGGTGTCCACAGATGCATACATGCTAAAAAAAAAAAATGAGAGGCAAGAAGACAGGGGTCAGGAGCAGTACTGGTCACCTGTGAGCCTGCCTATTGCACATGCCTCCCTGGTCCTTCTTCCCTGGCCCACCCGCCCTCCAGCACCCACCCCAGCCTCTCCCAGCCTCAGGGGCAGAGAGGAACATGTGCGGAGCATGTGGTGGGGTCCCGGCCTCAGGGGGGCTCTGCAAAGGTGAGCTGAAACCAGTGGCACTTACGACTCAAAGTTCTCCCGGAATCCTTTGGCAAAGGGGTTGTTATCAATTTTCAGCTGAGTGATCTAGAAAGAGGGCAAGTCGAGAGTCCTGAGTCCTGAGTGTGGGGCTAGGAAACTTCCAAAATCCCTCCCAAAGGAGACCGGGGGCCCCCGCTGTCCCCGTCCTCCCCTTCCCAGGCTCGGGCCCTCACGCGGCTGCCTGGGCAGCGCTCACCTCGGCATTCTGGTAGGCCGTCACGGCGATGAACTGGGTTTCTTGGAAAGTAAAGATATGCGTGTTGGAGGCACTGCAGGCCGCCTCGGGCTCTCCTTCGTTCACCTCCACGATGTGCAGCCGGGGCTGGTACTTATGGAGGGACTGGAGCACAATCATCTGAGGGAGAGCAGGAAGGTGGTGGGGCCGGGAGGAGGGAGCTCGAAGGATTCCCCCCACCCTGAGGTCATCCCGTCCAAGCCCCTGCCCTGACACCATGTGACTTCTCCCAGGCCTTCCCACTCCAGCCCCCAGCTCCTGGAGGCCCCAATTCTACCCGCGTGCCCCATTTCCTCTCCCCAGCTGTCCACTGTGGCCAAGCCATTAGCACACACAGGGCTTTTCCGGACACCCATTCCCTGGGACGCAGGTACCGACTCCAGGCCCAGCCGGTACCAGAGCGGTGGCAGCCCGGCATTTGGCCTGAACGTGACACCCTTTGTGCCCCGAGATGCAGCTTCTTCCCACCTCAAGGTGGCGGGAAAGAGCAGAGTCAGAGAGGAAGAAAAGTGACGCTTACAAAACAGTATCAGCCTGCAGGCTACCCCCCCACCCCCCACCCCCATGGCTCCGACCTGGGCGGGGGCGGGGCTGGCCCTTGGGGAGGAGTCCCACCTGAGTGGCATTGTTGGAGGCCCCTTTGTTGTTCGTGAGCTTGAGTTTCCCGAATGAAACCTCCTGGCGCATCCAGTGGGCTCCAGTGTTGGGGGAATCTGGGTGGACGTACAGGCGGTTTCCTGCGGACAGTTAACCTGTGAGGCATGCAGCCCCCAGGGCCGGACCCACAGTGATGTGGGCCTGGGCCTGTTCTGAAGGGACATCAAGAAGGATGCCGGGGAGGAGCAGACGGGCAGGGCGAGGGGAGGTGTGGGCCGAGGACGGAGCAGGAGATAGGCCAGAGTCAAGTCGAAAAGGAATG